GACGTGGGGGGGGAGGGGGGGGACAAACTGTTTCGTCGGAGTTTCACCGACTCATCAGGAGGCTGAACCCTCAATATATGTATATGTGCAAATGTGCCGCTTCGGCGGCAGACGGGTGTGTGGGCACTTAAGCCTCAACCACACAAACGTGGCCTTTTTTTTTCTTTTTTTTTTTCTTTCTATTCTATTATCTATCTATACTTTTTCGTTATGGATGGTTTGTTATGACTTGCGGAGGGAATGAGAGAGAGAGAGAGAATTTGGGGTGCTTTTTTTGAAAACACACACACAGAGTTCTTAATGGATGGAAAGGTGGGAACTGCAGGAAATGCCATAATTGACAAGGGGAAAGAAAAGATGGGCAGATTGAAGATTTTAGGTCTTTGGCAGATTGAAGATTTGAGGTCTTTGGCAAGCGTGAAATATACCGAGAACCTGTAATCTGTATTTCTTGTTTCCTCTGACCTCACTCGCCAGGATCACTTTGCAAACTTCGCTCTAGTCACACACGACGTTTAACACTGCCCTCCGCCACTCGTTACTTCCTCTGCCCCTAACCCCCTAACAGAAGACTGAGAACACCACTGTCCGGATGGGCGGCATTCACTAGGATGCTGATAAATTCTCATGGAGCTTTAGGTAACACACACACACACACACACACACACACACACACACACACACACACAGATAGATAGATAGATAGATAGATAGATAGATAGAGATTCTACACAAGTCGCGTCGTGGAAGGAAAACCTGGACAAGCGAAGAAAAAAACTCGCCCTCTGAACCACCAGCAGCCTTCTGTAAGCACGACGGATCAACAGGTGGAGCCTGTACTAGCGTGACTGGGAGGTGAGCAGAATGATCGGGACTGAGTTTTTCCATCCCCCTTTGAAAACTGAAGACGCAAAAACTCAACTAAGTTGAAGAAAAACTTAGACAAAAGTGAAGGGAAAAAAAAAAAAAGAACCCTCTCTGGTGATAAGCAACCCGAACGGAGTGTTGCCGCCCAGAATGGAAGGGCCCCAGCCTGCTGGGAGCACCATTGGACCTACAACCATTTATTGATCAGCGCCCTGGAGTTCAGGGGGCTTTGCATGAATCATCATTGTTGGTCCTATAATATATATATATATATTTTAGTTTAGGGGCAGTATGCCGACAAGAGCACGAATAACCTCGTCTGATTTACTGCGGGAAAAACAAAAAGATCTATTGGATAAAAAAAAATCCCTCGAAATCCCGCGAATGTTTTTGAGTTATTGGCCCTTTTGGGCCAACTTTTGGCAGGTTTTTGGTGTGCGCAACTGCTTGGTAAAGTGAAAGTGGTGTATTGAACAATTGGAACTATATTCATTATTTCCAGACTTCTGACAATGGAATATAAAGGCTCCTGATTTATGACAGGCACGCAAAAAAAAAAAAAAAAAAAGATGGCAATGGCACGGGATAAGGCATTAGAATTTTGAAAAATTGAAGTTTGTAAGGATATTGGAGTTTCTGGTTGGGGCAATCATGTCTTCTCAACTCCTTGGGGTAGGGCCTTGCCCCAGTACTGAAAGTTTGGCACGTATCTGGACGGTGCTATAGACCAGATACGTTCAGACGGCTCGAACATTTTGAGTGTATTATTTGGAATGCTGTGCAGTGGTGCGAGTCTATTAGTGGTTTAGTGGGGGCCTGCAAAAGGGGGTAGAATCCCCTGTCAGTCCCGTGCAGTGCTGGGCTCACCCCAGGCATCTAGGCAGACCTGACAGAAGGGTATACTTATGCCAGGGCCCAAAAGAATCTAGTCCTAGGGTACCAGAGTGGCCCGGGGTCACTTGCCCGGCCGGGCCAAAAAAAAAAATAAAATTAACATTTAAAAACAATATTTTCAGATTTTGTTTTATATTTTAAATTCGGTGGAGATTTTCTCTGTGGCCCTGAGGCAAAAGTTGTTCGATTTATTTTTCTGCACAACATAGTTTTTTTTTTCGGAAATTTCAATTTTTTGATTTTTTTTTTTTTTTTTTTGGCTTTTTTTTTTTTTTTTTTTTTTTTTGTGTGTGTGAGAGAGAGAGAGAGGGGGGGTGAGAAAAAGAGAGAGAGAGAGAGAGAGAGAGAGAGAGAGAGAGAGAGAGAGAGAGAGAGAGAGAGAGAGAGAGAGAGGTTGGTATGGGCAACCGGTTCACAAAGAAGAAGGCTTTAGTAGATGAGAGGTACACGAAGCCTCAGGGATTATACCCGACCCAACGAGACACGGATTTGAAGAAGGTACGGAAGCTGATACTCTCTGGCAAGCTGTCGCCATGTTACCCGGGAGAGGATAACCCTCGTGACGATCTGGAGGAGTGTCCCATTTGTTTTCTCCAATATCCTAGCCTCAATCGATCTAAGTGTTGCAATAAAGGTCTCTGTACGGAGTGTTTCCTGCAAGTGAAGAATCCTGGAGGCCAGACCAGAGCTGCGCACTGTAAGTGTCCTTTCTGCAAGGCCGCTGGCTATGGCGTCGAGTTCCGCGGAGCTAAGACTTTGGAGGAGAAGGGAGTGGAACAGATCGAAGAGCAGAAGGTTATTGAGGCCAAAATGCGCATGCGATTAGAGGAGGAGGAACGTCAAAGGAAACGCGAAGAGGATATTAGGAATGGAGTGATTCCACCAACTCCTCCTCCTCCCCTTCCTCCGCCTCCACCTCCGGCATCTTTCTCCAGCTATACTTCATTGAATTCACTGAGTCCTCTCGCTGCCTCGCACGCGCCCCTCCCTCCTCTTCCATCTTTCTGTGCGTATCCTAGGCGGCCTTTCACGACGACCCCTCCTCCTCCTCCTCCTTCTTCCTCCCATTCTCCTCCTCCGCCCCCCCCTCCTCCCAGATTACCCCCATTTGATCTTCGTTCGGACTCTTCTTTCCTTGGAGGGACCGCCGGCCCGTCACACGTCGCGCCCGACTCGCTTGCTACGTCGGAGCAGAGGTGGGGAATTATGCCCAGTGTGCTAGGAGGGGACCAGAGATGGGGTATTTATCGCGATCGGGCCATTGGGGAAGGAAGGATCATCAGTTCCAGCGGCCCTTCCGTTATGTTTGGTCCCGTTCCGGGTCTTAGACACGACGGCTTGTGGATTAGGACGCAGCTTGATTCCGATATCGCACCAATGGGAAGAGGGGGGATGGTCCTGGGGGCTGCAGTGCTCCCTGGCGCTGTTGGTGAGGGCGCCACGGGTTTTCCCGGTCCCGTTTCTGTACCCCCTGGTCCAATATCGGCGGCTACCGATTCCGCGGACAGGTTCGGTATTCCGCCGTACGGGCAGCCGCCTGCGGGCGGCGCGGGGCTCCGCCATCCACTCGCGCCACCTTCCGACTACCACTCGTTCCGCGCGCTGTTCGACCCCGAGTTCCAAGAGCAACTGGACCTTGAAGCGGCAATTCGGCTATCTCTGCAGGACCAGCAGCAAGCGCGAATGGCCGAGCAATCAGCGGCCGCGGGGAACTGCGGGGGCGACCAGTCCCCGAACGAGGGCGGGGGACAAGAGGATGGGGAAGGGCGCGGTGATGTCCCTTCGAGGGGGAGGGGGGTGGGGGATGGAGAGTTCTCAGGCTGCAGAGAGGAGCAGGACATGGCCGCGGTGGCGGAGTCGGATCCACCCGGAGGAGAGGGGGAAATTTGCTTTGTGGAGGAGAGGCAGCAAGAAGGTCATCGGCAGGAACCACAAGAGCATCGGCATCATCGCGAACACGAGGAGCCGGTTGTGGTGGCTGACGGCCAAGGTAAACGAGTGTTTGATGGTGATAACGGCGAGAAGGAGGAGGAGGAGGAGGAGGAGGAGGAGGAGGAGGAGGAGGAGATGGATGCAGAAGAGATTGTGAAGCTTCTGCAGGCGAAGTGCGAAATTGATGATCTCATGAAGACTCTAAGAGCTGAGGTCTTGGTAGTAGGAGGGGGAGATAGCAGCCAAGCCGCTCCTCGTATCGATGAGGCGAACTCCTGTGGAGAAGGGAGGGATGGATGCGGTCGTGACGGAGGAGAGGTAAGAGTAAAGACGAGAGCCGATCAAGCTGCGGGGACTACTAGTGGGAGAAAAAGGGAAGAGGAGGTGGAGGTGGAGGTGCAGGTGGAGTTGGAGTTGGACTTGGAATCTCAACGCTGCTGAACTGGAGGCAGGCAGGTGGCAATGTCCTATGCCTTTTTCAAACCAGGTCCACGTCATGTCCTATGCTAACCATCTCCTAGGTTCGTTCTAAACCCATTCCTTGCTAATTTTTTTTATTTTTTTTTTCCTTGCTAATTTTCGCGGCATTTAATAATAGGATTCATTCAATGACATGGGTTTTAACACACAGGTGGTAGTACCGTGGTACACATTACTTTTAGCCATTCGGCTAATCGGCTAATCGGGTTTAACTCATGGTTTTAACACATTTCTTTTGGCCTGGATTAGCTCAAATCCAGGCCAGAAAGGGGGTCGGTCCCTCAAGGGGGCGGACGGAAATTCCGCTGCCGATCAGCGCAACACCCCTCTCACGGCAGTCGGCTTAACCCCCACAAGAAACTTGCCCCG